GGATTCCTTAGTACTTCTGTAAGCACCTAACTTCTTCAGAGGAAACCCACACTGATGACATAATAAAGAGCACTGCGGAGGATGGGGCAGGTACGGCACTGAGCACTCTGCATGTCTCAGTCATCCCCTTCGCTCTACTTTCATCTTTATTTTAATTCCTCCAGTTGAGGAAATTGAGCCTCTGATAAGTAATTCATCCACGGTTTCACAGCTGCATTTGGCAGAGCCTGAACTTGAACTCAGGGCTAACTCACTGAATGCGTGCACTTGGCCACTTCACAACTACCTCCCTATACAGAGTGCCAAGTGGCATTTGGAGAGGGCTTCCTATGTGCTAGGCATGGTCTCGTTACCACCATGTCAGGGAGGTGTTAGTAGCCCTGAGTTTTAGATGAGGAATCTGAAGTTCAGGGAGGTTGAAATGAAGGTTATGCCCTTGGCTATGCAGACTCACGGCTGGTATCAAACATCAGGTCTACCTCATCCCAAAGTCTTGCTCTTCACCAATGCATCCCACAGACTGGAAAGAGTAATGGTTCTGGGGGACATGGACAGTGTGGCTCAGACGACCTTGAGCCCTGGGCACCACGCGCCTGGCTCCACCCACAAGGCCGTGTGTTATCTTAGGGAGATCTCTCCCCCTTGTTTGGCTTCAGTTTCCTTCTCTGAAAAATTGAAGGGGCTGGACTGGCTGGGTCTCAGGAGTTTTTAACTCTGGGTTGTGAAATTTGCTTTGTACCTTGCAACCTGACATTGCCCACAACCTCCAAGTGAAGTCTCAGCCCTTCAGAGGAGTGAGTCCCCTGCAGGATCAGGGGTGGGGCATCTACCTCAGGCCCTGGGGGCAGAGGCCTCCACCTAGATAGAATCTTCAGAAGCCTTCACAGGCCCACAGTTTCCCTCACATTTGCACCACAGGGGCCTCTAGGCCTGATGAAGCCCAAAGGAAGGGTTGAGTTTTTTCCCACATTGTTCTAAAACAATGGGAATTAGTTGCCAACATTTTCAATTCCAGAGATTTTATAGTAAAATCTGGATTTCTGGGCTCTTCCTCCTGAAAGATCGAACTTCTGGCCACTCCAGGCATGAGCTAACTGGTTCCTGGCCCTTCAGGCAGAGCAAGAGCTCTTCTTGGCCTCACCCCTGCACACCCAGCCTGCTTGCCATACACACTGCCACCCTGGAAGCCTTTGGTGTGTGTGCTCAGCTCCAGGACGCTCTGTGCTCTTTCCTTGGAGCAGGACCAAAGGGAGGGACAGGCTGCACATGGCGCTTGGGCACCTTTTCCTGCAGACACACATGCCAGCCTTTGAGAAGCAGAGCCCCACAGCCAGGGTGCAGGCTGGAGCCTTGTTCCCTGGAGCAGCAACCCAAAGATGCTCAGGCGGGAGCACATTCATCCATCCAAAATACTCTCATTTCCCCAGCAACAGCCACTCAGATCTCTATCTGCTTTCCAGTGCCCGGAGTGGACCAGCAGTGTGTGTCATTTCTCTGGACTGGGGCTATAATGGAGACATTGTGCTGACTAAAACAAGAGAGGTTTTCATCTTGTGGCCAGCATTGGGCAGACACCCGAGCAAGGGCCTCACCCTGCATGGAGAAGCATGGGAGAGGGGCCCTGAGCCAAGGAGGAGCTACGTGGCCACCACTGCACTCACGGGCCTGGGAGGCACAGAGGCCTTTCTCGAAGAGCACCTCAGCTCAATCTCATCTCCCTCTGCAAAGAAATAAGCCAATAAAACAATCCCAAAAACTAAACGGAGCCCCAGGACAAGGCCATTAATAGAAGCCAATAACGACAGGGCTCATAGATCCTCGAATATTTACTGACTCACTTCACAAATATTTATTACCACTTCCTAGATGCTGGGTGCGGGCCAGGCTGTGGGGATCTAGCAATGAGCAAGACACAGGCCCAGCCTCAAAACGACCGGGGCCAGAAATGGGTAAGTATATAGGAAAGTATATGTTGATGGCACAAGAAGAGAACTGAGACTTGTGTGACAGTAGAGGCAACTCAAGACCCAAATCTAAGCCCAGTACTGTACGTCCCTTTTCTTACTCTCCCCAGAGTCTCCTGAGACTGCTCCAGGCTCAGTGAAAACAGTACCTGGAAAACCATAATAAGGAGTTTGGACTCTGTTGAAGGCCAAAAGGAGCCATAAAGTGTTTCTAAGAGGGCAGTGACATAGTCTGTGATTAGGATCATGATACAGTCATCTGGTAACTACAGTGGTAGGAGACCCTGTGTGCAAAGTGACAGGTTAAAAGGTAGGAATGTTTCTCGGGGACAATGAGCCCTTAGCCTCCAAACGTTTCTTTCCAGAATTTCCCAGTTCCACCTGATAAGCTAAGAATGAGATTGGGGAGTAACATTTGTTTTCACAGGACAGGGAGCAGGAGGAAGTCCAAAGCTTTCTTCCTGGTATTGTTCATGAAGGCCAAATTTGCTATCTTTTTACAGAGCTGGACCTCTCCACATAGAATTCTTTAGACAAGCACCAGGCAAACCTGGAAAACTCTGTAGTGAGCAAGAAAGAAAAGGAAGATATGAGGCAGACCCTAAAAATCCTTGCCAGTGCTACACTCAAAGAAACAGAAAGAGGAAGAGAAAACCAGACATCAACAACTCCCCTCCCATCCTTGTTTTAATACTTAGCACCGGATACCCCATGATCCAGCCAACCCAAGCTGCCTTGCAGACACATCCTGCCATTTTCTATCCCCACTTCTTGCTCTCAGTGTTTTCTCTACCTGTAATGTTATCTCCTCATGGCATGTTCAAATCCTCTACAGCTCAGCTGACACTTAACCTAATGTCTGTCATCCATTACTATCTCAATTGGTCAGATAGTCTTGCATTGTCTTGATGAACAAGAGTGTTTAGTCCCTCCTCTAGTACTTTTCACATAATAATCTGTGTGGAAATTATTCTGTACATATTCTACTCTGCTAGACTGTAGATTCCTCAAGGATGGGGATCATTTCTACTTAGCATCCGCTCTCTCAATTGGAACTTGCACACAGCACAATCAATATTGCCTAAATGAACTGATGTACAGTGAGGATAGCTGGTTTTTAGGGTGAATATAGCCCTTATTAAAGGACAAGTATAGAACAATACGTAGCTATTCCCATATTTTAACCCACAAATAGTCTTTCCGGCTACCCTCATTCAGTTACCCTAACAGCAGCCAAGCTGTAAATTAGGCAACATTGCCACCTAGTGGACATCATGGACAATAAACCAGAAGCAATGTTCTTCCCAACAAATTTTTGTTAATCTTCCAGACAGTGCCACAGACTGTGTTCTCCCATTTTTACAGCTTCTGCAGACCAAAGCTCAGTTCATGTCACCCTATAAATTACTCCACGGACACATGTAAATTTTTTTACTTTTCTGTTAATGCTCCGAATACACTTCCAAAGTCCTTGAAAGTTTCTGAAAATTCTCTACAAATCACAAGAGCTTCTATTCGTTTTTGCAATAGGAATGTTTCATGCTGTTGTTTTAAAATTATTTCAAATGAAATGTGTTTTCAAAAGAAAAGTTAACCACACTGTATAGCCTGATTTCCAAGTGTTTCAGAGCTCAAATCATGAACTTTGGGAACTTAGTCTACTTATAAATTGTTGGTTAGCTGCTTTAGAATTTTAAATGACCTTTTCAAATTGGAAAAGTGGGCAGGAACGAAGAGGAGCTCAGAAAATAATAATGGCTAGCATCTGTGTAGCTATTTATGGTTTATAAAGTGGGTTTGTATCATCATTTCATATTCCCTGCCAACAGCCCCCTGAGGTCAGCGCGAGGTTTCCCATAGCACAGTGGAGCAGGCCGCCCCTGGACTGGAAGCTGCATTCAGCGCCTACTGGGCAGGAGAGCGAGAGCTCACACACACATTTTCAGACTCCAATCCCATCGCTTTTTTTTACTCTACCTTGCTTCCTCTGAGAGCTCACACACAAATACATTAACCTATGACGCCATTTTGCAAAGACAATGCTAATTTAAACTTGCCCATAAAAACAATGGAGATCTTATACAGGAAAGCACGATATGCTCTTTCTCAGGACCCTTTCTGGCCTCTGTGCCTGTGCAGAGTTCCCAAGGCCAGAATGTTTTAAGTAAAGAAGGAGCCCCGTTAAAACTGAAAATGGCGTCTGGCCCACGTTGTGAGGAGGGGTGACCCGGAAGAAAGCTGGGGCTGAGTTTCACTTAATAAAGGTCTTAAATTCAAGCATTTATAGATGCTGTCTATAAAGGAATTGACCTGCTTTCACAGAAATACACTAATAAGACAGAGGAGTTGACATTTTTCACACGACTTTTAATTCTATTACTGGCCCACACCGGCTATAGCAATGTATTTTCTACATCCCGTGATTATCCTAAGAGGTCCGCACAGATATGACACTGTATTTTGTACGATGAAACTGTTTCACCCACTTTTATCACTGTTTTGGCATTTCCTTACTTTTTAATACAGAAGGCACTTTCAAAGTTGGAAGTGCCCCTAAGCCATTGCCACGGAAAATCCAATTTCTCCATACCCTAGGTGGTTTTCTTTTTGAAGATCTTTGTTATTTATTATCTCACTTGCCTCTTACACCATTATTGATACTGTACCAGCCCAGGCCCCGGCCCACTATAGGACACTAAAAGGTGTCAGATGGAGAAGATGAACCCAAACCCAGGAAATGGGGAAAGCGGGAGTACTCCAGAGAACACTCTGTAATAGTCTCTGAAATCCGCGCTGGAGCGGGCTGAGATCAGAGAGCCAGCCGCCCTGGCTGCGAAGGGCGCGCAGACCTGAACATTGCCTGGGTCTGGAAGGCCAACGTGTGCCCTGGAAGTGGGTCCTTAGAGTCCGCACCCGGCCGCGGAGGGGGCGTGGAGCCGGGGCGTGGCGCGGGCGTGTGCGGGACCCGACCCGCGGAGAGGCGAGGCGCTCGGGCTATTCCGGGAGCGCGGAGGGCGGGGCGGGGGCGCGCGGCGAGCATCCTGTCTGGGGGAGGGGATACGAGTCCCGCCGGCCGTCGAGAGCGCGGCGCCACCAGCCGCGCCGGAGCCACTGCGCCCTCGGCCCGCGCCCGGGACCCCGGCGGCGCCATGGACCGAGGCCGGGGTAAGAGGAGCCGCGGCGGCCACGCTGAGTGCGGCGCGGGGCGGGAAGGGAGACCGAGGCGATCTGAGGCCGGGGGGGGGGGTGCGGTTGGGGGCGGCTGGGCAGGGCGCTGGCGGAGACGGGAAGGCGCGGTGCTGTGCGCGCAGGTGCCTCCTGCAGCTCGGGCGACCCAGTGCGAGTTGGCCCGACCGGTCCTGGAGCTGAGTCGCTACCTGGGTGTGAAATTGAGTTTTTATATACACCAATTCCTAAATCCAGAAAAGACCCCCAACGAATTATCGAGAACAGCGAGCTCCTCCCACCTTGTGTGCAGGAAAGGTAAAATAGGGTTTACAGACTATACTCAAAACACCCGACGCGTGAAACGCCACTGTACGCGCAAGCCCCAGGAGACCAGAGTTTGCGGCTGCCGGGCTCGGGGGAAGGAGGAGCCGTGTGAGCGCGCCTGCGCGCTCTCGTGTGTACGGTATTTAATGGAAGTTTCGCAGAACTGGTGGAGACTAGAGAAGTAGGGATCGGCCTGGGCGGAGAGGCCAGTTCATGGGGGTTAGGGGTGAGGGCAGCGCGCATGCTAGTAAAGGTCTAGAAACCAGTGTGGAGGGGAATGTGCGTGTCTGAAGAGTGTCCTGGTTGGACATGGGAACAGTGTGAAAGACTGGGTCCTAGCCCGCACCCCTGGGATCCAGAAAGATCACGGGTGTGCAGGGTGTGCAGGCACTTGGTGAACTGGCTGTCGAGCGACGTGCCTTCATGAAAGTGTTGTTATTAGTAATGGAAAATTCCTCCCTCTCCCCACAACAATCTTACACCTGCGTGTTTGCTCTACGGAGGCCCCCAGGGAGCGAAACGGAGTGAGCAGGAGAGAAGAAGCATTTGGGAGTCACTGGGTACAGGAACCAGGGCAAGGGTAGGTGACAGGGTAACCCCACCTCTCCCTGCACTCCTGTGTCAGGTAAAGCCAGGCTTAAGCCCAGAGGGCCACAGGGGATCTCGCTTCCAGTTCAGCCTCCCAGTCACCTGGCTGCAACACAGGCCACATGGACCTGAAGGGCCCTGAAGGACAGGCAGGAGATGGAAGGGGCCTCCATGGTCTGTAAGGCAGTTCACACTTGTTAACCGACTTCCAGGCAAGGATGGACCTCACCACCACCAAGAAAGAAAGAAGAGCACCTGGCTTGCCCTTCAGGAGTCCCACCTCCCACACTATATATCTGAAGAGCACTGCCAGTTATCAGACATCGTGCTGTCTGGCCCCTAGTACATAAATGCATACCTGGGCTTATCCAGACTTGCAGAAACAGACAAAGGTGACATTTCACCAAGTTCTAATTACTTCGCAGCCAACAAGGCCACTTCAGAAGGCTGCTTCCACAGCACTCTTGCTGGGAGACCAGACTTCCCAGGACTCTCTTGGTGCTTGGAACATACTTGGACCCACTCTCCAGCCTACTTTCCTTCTCCCTCCCAGCCATGTCTCCCTCCCTCCCAGTGTGCTGTTGGTGCAGTAGTTACCTCCCCTGCCCAGCACCAAGCTTCAAAAGGCAGAGCGGGCCACTGCTGTGACCACCCCACTGACCTTGCTTAGCACATGGTAGGAGCACGCTGATGGTGGTTTAATGAATAAGATGAAGCTCACTTTATAATGCACCTCAAATTGATTAATTATCATGGTGATTTAAAAATGCTGCTAAATCCTTCCATCAGAACCATTCTTTATGATTTCCAAAGGTAGTCTCAAAGTAAAGTCATGTGGCCAGTACACAGAAAAGTAAGTCATCTATCTAGATCCTCATTTTTCTACCATGATAAATAATTTATAATATAAATTATATATTATGTGTTAGAATGTGTTAATACTTTGGATTAGAATGAAAAATCTGTATGTGGATTTTGTTTTGGTCAGGTGATACTGGAGATCAAACACAGGGCCTCTCTACCACTGAGCCAAATCCCTAGCCCTTGATTTCTTATTGCAAGACAGAGTCTCACTAAATTGCCCAGGCTGGCCTGAACTTGTGATCCTCCTGCCTCAGCCTCCCAAGTAGCTGGAATCACAGGCATGTGCCACCACACCCAGTCCTCTATACATGTTTTTAAGATTAAACATGAGACCTCAGAAATCATTTTAGCAGACCCTCCTTGTGCCCCTGCCCCCAGGTAGGTGTGCATCCTTTTCTATTGTCAGGGAAAGTTTAAGAAATGTGGGTCACATTTCAACTTCCTCCCTACCATGTTGGAGGTAAGCTTGTCATATGCAGGATACTAGGGAGAAATCAAACTTCAGAATCACTGACATTAACTAAAATTACCAAACTCTGGGTGCCAGGCTCCATGCTCAGCTTTTGCATGGTTTCTCTCAGAACAACACATAGGGTGGGGCTTTTTAGGCAGAAACACCATTAAAGCTACCTCTCAGGAAAGCAGGCTTGGACGATGTATTCACCAGCTCAGGCCATCATAGCATAATGCTACAAACTAGGTGGCTTAAACAACACAGATTTATTTCCCCACAGATTTATTTTCAGTTCTAGATGCTGGAAGTCCAAGACCAAGGCACTAATACTCTTATTTCTCTTCAGGTCGAATAAATCTCTCACCTTTTACCAAGCTCAAGGTACTATAAGGATAATTTCTTCTGAGGCCTCTCTTCTGGTCTTATAAGGCTGCCTTCTTACTGCATTATCATGTGACCTCTTCCTCTTCTGACACCAGTATGGTCATTTTAGGGCTCCACCCTGATGACCTCATTAACCTTAATTATCTCCTAAAGTTCCGTCCTCAAATGTAGTCACATGGGGCTAGGGATTTAACATCTAGGGGAGGGGGGCCATAGGTCAGTCCGCAGCAGTGTTATGTCACTGGCGTTGATTTGCACAATCATCCCCCATGCTAGACACAGAGCTGCAGTTTGAACCCAGCTCTATCTGCCTGAAAAGTCTTGATTTGAAGCTTGCTGTGAACTGCCTCACTAGTGGCTGGCGAATGACCTGTGAGTCGAATCCTACAGCAGGCCTAGATCCCAAATCTTCCGGCTCTACTCCAGACCTCTGTCGTGCCTCAGTTCAGATGTTCTGGCGCAACAATAGCATAAACACCTGACATCCAAGTTGGGAATGGAAGCAAACCTGGGAAGTACGGCCTATCTTCTAACAGGCTATGTCTTCCCGTGGGTAAAGCAGGATTTATATGATGCAGTCACAAACGTATAAACCACTTAAAATGGAATTCCTCCAGCAGGACCTCCTGATTCATGAGTGTCAAACAAAAAGAACCAGCCACTGGGGAAGGTAACACAGGCCAGTCCAGTGACTACAGATACTATCTTCTACAAGACAAGTTAATTTTCTTTCCTCAGGTCAAAATACAGTGTAACTACTGGTAATGCCTATTTCTTGGGGTTGTAAATATTAAACACATGACAAATACTTCAAACAATATGTAAACATAGGTTCCACTCAAAGATTACAATCTTTTTTAAAAAATCAGACTCAACTAATCAAAATGCCTTACATAATGTCCCTTTATAGAATGCCCCTCTACAAGCTGAACCAACTAGGATGATATTTTTTGAGTCTGCTCTGTTTCATATCCTGAGCTACATAGCTTTGTGTACAGTGCAGGCAGGGAACATGTCATCATAAAACTTTGTATCCTGGACTTCTTTCATAGTGCTTGTGGCTTGGAAATCCATCTGTGACCTCAGTCATCCAATCACAATCGAAATGACATTGCTGACTGATGAAATACTGATACAGATGCCAGCATGCCCCTTTTCTCCACCCTATCTAGTCATGTCTGCTAACTACGTTAGGTCATCACCATTTTTCTTCAGTAAACTTTGCAATCTTCTTCAACTATCTTCTCTTTAAATTCTTTGCTCTAACTTTTCACTGACTTTTTAAATTTACCATCTTAATGTCCAGGTTATATCTGATCTCTTGGCTCATAGGAAGCAACTGGTTTCCCCTAGGCTCCTTTTCTTTCCATTTCACAACTAGTTCCTTTTCAACTAGCTGAATTCAACCCAAATGGGAGTTTCTTTGGGTGCAGTCTGTATTACTTGGGAGATCATGTTGTCTACTGGGCAAATCAAGAAATAATCTGATGTTTGCTTCTCACTGAATGAGATCCTTATTTTTCCAGAGTCACTGGAAGAATCCATTCTCACTGTCATGTCTGTGGGATGGGCCTTGAGATTCACATTATGAAGGTCACATCTTCCCTGTGGTGTCCCATCGGCCAAGCAGTCTGTGGTTAACCCTCCCTGAGCTGTCCGCCAGCAACTCACCTCTGTCCCCAAGGCTATGGACTCCCTAGCAAACCTACCTTCTCCCTGACAAACAAGTTCATATCTTTCTTCTATTGGCAGCATTCCTTTTTATTAAGAGCACTTATCCATATTATATTTTCCATCCAGATGTGTTCTGCAAGGCAACTTTTCCCCAACTAAGTTTCTTTTTTTTTTTTTTGGTACGGGGGATCGAACTCACAACCTTGCACTTGCGAGGCAGGCGCTGGAACCACTGAGCTAAATCCCTGGCCCGATCCCAACTAAGTTTTTTTGACAGGTAGTAATTGTATAAGTTTATGGGTCACAGTATGCTAATTCGATGCATGTATGCAGTGCATGATCAAATCAAGGTAATTCACATTTCTATCTCTTTGAATATCTATCATTTCTTTGTGTTGGGAAACTCCTAACTCCTCTCCTTAGTTCTTTACAAAATATGTAATAACGTGGCCATGAGGTCATCCTTGCCAGCCTGGGAGCTCAGTAAAGCTGAGTGTTTTAGAGAAAGGACGATCTGGGTTTGAGTTTTGAGTGCGGCTTTCCTGCTAGATGATCTGGAGCAGACATTAGGAATGTCGTAGGAGATAGGCATGCATGCAGGCTGGCACTTGGATGTTAGCCACACTCTACTATGTGTGTAGGGAGTCCCATGGGGCCAGAGGACCTAGCTTCACTCTCTTTCCTCTAGGGGCGTCTGCTGGCCACTGGG